GATTGCATCAATTGCTCTTGTCTGAGTGTTTTTGTTATTCCCCAAGGTTTGTACCATCAGATGAAAAGAAGAAACAAGGCTGTCAACGAGAGAATGAGACTCTAATACAGAGAAGGAAGGACCAGATGCAGCCTGGGGGAACTACAGTCAGTGTTACTGTACCGTACCGAGTCGTAGACCAACCTCTGAAACTCATGCCACAAGACTGGTAAATTGATTGTCTGAGTGTTTTTGTTATTCCCCAAGGTTTGTACCATCAGATGAAAAGAAGAAACAAGGCTGTCAACGAGAGAATGAGACTCTAATACAGAGAAGGAAGGACCAGATGCAGCCTGGGGGAACTACAGTCAGTGTTACTGTACCGTACCGAGTCGTAGACCAACCTCTGAAACTCATGCCACAAGACTGGTAAATTGATTCCCCCTTTACAAAATTTCTTAACCAGTGGAATGCAGAATTCAGAGGGGACCAATAAAATGCTATGAAATTCACTAAAAAGTGAAGGTACAGATGTAAGAAGGATTTGATTTACTGTATAGCAGAATTTCTTTCTGGTGGAAGTAATAGGAAACTAAACTCATCTAAAAGTTCTTTAAAACTTGCAACACTCTGCATTTGAACAGTGTGAGCAGCACAACTGGTTTCGTTAGGTTTGCCTGAAATGTTCCAAAAATTCAAATAGAAATGTTCATATTAGTTTTCTGGTTTGTGATACTGTAATGTGGAAGTCACTGATCCATGATCTGGAAGAAAAATCCTCCTTTCTTGTCTGCTTTCTGAAGCAGAGGCAGTTGGGAAGATAGGTTTGCAGGCCCTCAGCATCTGACATTGCAACTTTTTTAGTAGTTCAGTAAAGACTGAATTGTGATTTCAGTATTGAATTGGATTTAATGATGGAAGTTCACCTCTGAAGGGAGAGCCCTAGTTGGGCGAAGGGAATCGTAGATAGTTTCCACTCTTATGAAAAAGCTGGATACAGGTTATTTGGTCTGCAGCCCTTTCTTCAGTGCTATGAAAAATAGTTCTCTTTGAGCAGGAAAATTCTGGAGAAGCATATTTTTGTTATTTGATTTAATTCATTATGCAACATTTTTACTTCTTTCTCACAAGTGTGAAGATTTTGGACATGGATAATGACATATTTGGTGGGTTTGTAACTTCCAAAATAGATTTTAATGAAGAGAAACACTTTGAAAAGGTCCTGGTCCTAAATTAAATGTTCTCTATATTTGGAACTTGAACTAATCAGGGACCTGTGGCTTTCAAATTCTGTCTCTCAAATACCACTTAAAATGTTTAATGATCAAACCTTTAATAACCATCTAAAATAGTTCCTAAAGTGCTTCTGACCAAAGAGATGAAGTGATGTGAGGTTTTCCTTGGTTTTCTCCAAGGGAGCCATTATAAAGCCTGCAAAAAAAAAAAACCAACACAAAAAACCAGAAAGCTCCAACTTGAATATTCTTTTCCATTAGGGATTTGAAAGCTCCACCTTGAATATTCTTTTCCATTAGGGATTTGGTGCATTTTCTGATGAATTAAACTGGGGATTAGATATGAGAGGTAATTGTTGTGCTAGGTAGGAACCATGGTTGGATGATCTGTGAGAAAGACAGACTTTATGTGGGAGGTTCCTTGTTCTCAAAGGGCTTTTTTGAAATTTCATTAATGGAAAAGCTTCATGTTCATCACAAATTTATTTTCCTAGACCACAGGTAATGATCACATACTCTTAAAAGAAATGATGCATTTTGCAGACATTTAGCAGCTCTCATTTGTAATAGATTTTTAAACTAGAAGTGAGCAGTGTTCAGAGTAGAGGCTTTAGAAATCTCACATCTCAGTTTCCAGTGTTGTTCATAGAAGATTATAGCTAAAAACATTGGAGCACTTTTTAAAAGCAAAGGAATAATGACTAGAAATAAGCACTGTTTGACCTCTTAATATTGTAACTTGAGAAAATGAGCTGCATTCTGCAAAGGGACAGAGCTGAAAGTTCAGAAAAATCGCATGAACTCTTTGTTTTTGCTTAACAGAGGAAAAGCAGTTGTCCTGGAGCTGTGGCTGTTACATGTGCTGTGCTGCTGGTTCTAAAATCAGAAGCTCAGCTAAGGCACATTGCCTGTGTAGGAGAGCATGAATTTAAAAGTTCAAGGCCATCAACATGTCCATCCCTTTCTGTGTTCACAGGGACCGTGTGGTGGCTGTGTTTGTACAGGGTCCTGCTTGGCAGTTCAAGGGTTGGCCTTGGCTCCTGCCTGACGGATCACCTGTGGATATCTTTGCAAAAAGTAAGGAGTTTATTTTGGTTTTAAGGGGTTTGGGGTTTGTTACTCTGCTCGAGGTTCCGTGTGGGGTGTTTATGCTTATGGCAAAGTGCAGCTGGATGTGGGTGGCTGAGCAGACAGAGGCTTTGGCCTTCTCACACATGGGGAATATTAATGTGCCTCTGCAGTTCTTCTCTTCTGACCTGAGGAGGCTCATGGAAATCTTCTCAGAGCTGTCATCTTTAAGAGTGAGAAATAGCTAGTGCACAAATTTACTTTCCAAGCTTCTAAAAGAAAGGTGAACAGACAATGCATATTCTAACATTTCATAGACAGCAGGTTTACATTCTGCCTTCACATTTCATTGCTGATTTGAACAGAGGATTAACCACCTAGGATTTCACTAGGAAAGCGTTAAAAATAGGATCTGGGCTCTGACAAAAACTTTAAAGTTCTAAAAAGTTTAAGTTCCAATTTTCAAGTGAGCTAGATGTTACCAGTGTATAGATCTGAACAGTTTTATTGAGTTCTCACAACTCTGCCTGGTGTGCTTTGAGGCACACTGCACTTCTCTCACAGTTCACTCTTCTGACAGTAAAGTGTACCATAATATCTAAGGAAACTGTCAGCTTCTCTTCTCATGCTTCAGTGTGAAGTTGCCTTAGAAAATAGACTTTTCAATAGTATCCTGTGGTTTCTGAGCTGCAGATTAAAAAAAAAAACAAACCCCTAACAAACCAACACATGCACACAAAAGAAAAACCCAAAGCCAACAACCCAAAACCCCACGTTAGCTCAGTCTGTCATCTTCCAGTCAGTGTGATGAGGAAACAAGTTTGATCAGGTTTTATGTGTGTACCTGTTTAGGATGTGAAGGAGAATCTGGAAAGCAAATGCTAGTTTGGTAAGCAAGGAAAAAACCCAACAGTGGGACAGAAGGCTAAGGATGGGTCTGTGAACAAGTAAATAGAATAAGTTGCTTAAGGGGGGATTGAGAATGAACAGGGAGGGGGTTAGGGGCCTGCAAGCCAATGTAAAAGGAAAAAGCACCCCAGGAGAGAGTTTAACAAAAGAGACTAATGAAAGAAGAAAATAACACTTCAAAATGAAGATAGAGAGAAAAAAGGAACTCTGAAAGGCAAACCCAAGAAAAATGCCGTGAAATATTTAAAGTGTAGCTAGCTGTTGCTACCTCCTCTGAATTTTAACATTTTGTGTATATAAATGTATAGTGAGCCATAGGAATTGTTCTGACATGCTTTGACGTTTCCAAAGTGCCAAAAGATCACAATCACAGCCTGCACAGTTCAGTCTGAAGGTGTACAAATTCTTTGGCTTTTTAAGGGAGAGGAGGATATCTGCTCTTCCTCAGCTCATCCATTGAAATGGACTTTCTTTCATTTTAGAAATGCATTCTATTGCTCCAGAGCAAGGTATTTGTGAAATACTTTCCCGATAAAGAGTATCTCTAGGGCTTTTCCTAATGACTAGCTGATAAAGAGGTATCTCTAGGGCTTTTCCTAATGACTTTACTCACCCCTCAGATGAAAACAGGTAAATGGAGGGAGAACAGACAGCATCAGTGTAGTTGTGTTTATTTTTTCCTGAAGCTGTCACTTTGTAGTGTTGGATAGTCCTCAGGAGTCTGGTTTCTGGGATTTGCAGCCATTCATTGTTTCATTTGCACTTTGCATTTCTTCTTCTGTGTCTCTGGCTCTGTAGTAATTAACACAAATTCAAATTCTTATGTTGGAAAACAAGCAGGTAGCTTACCATAAAGAATTCCCCCATAAAATTTGTCTTGGGCCAGAGCCTGTCAAACTGGTTTCCTTTGTTCAATTGCTATGTCATGTAGCTTTTTGTTAGTTGAGTCTCTCAAATTCTTCTCCTTAGTTTTCTTTACACATGGTCTGAGTGTTTAATGTTCACGTAGCAAACAAGCTTCATTTTATGTCTGCAAGTGAATGTTTGAGAAGAAGTTTTGAATTATGTAGCTTTAATGAACAAATACTTAATTTTTAACACCATTTTAAAGGTCTTACTCCTTGAGCACATCAGTGCACTCTTGTTGTGGTTTGTTTCAGATTCAGAAGTGGGTTGTGTTCTGCTCTGGTGTTATTTGAAAACTCAGAACATTGTATAGTAAAGATAAATGTATGTGTATTCTCATTTTCCATTCACAAAGCTTGGAAATTTATCTGGCAGTGATACAAGCCAGATGATCATTTCTTTAGTTTGTCAACTGAAAAAAAAAGAGCTACTTTCACATAGCAATCTCCTAGGAAGTTCCTGGATATGTGTGTAAAAGGGAACTGATTTTTTATTTATTACTATTAATTTTAACCATTTGGCTGAAACTGTAGGTGGATTTTGTAGAAGAAGGAATGAAGAGTGTGATATCAGCAAAAGATATGACTGTGACATTAAAAATAACTAGTTTCCCCAAGCCTGATCAAATGCTCACTGTGTGTTATGTGTTAATGCTTGGGCTTTCCATATTTCACATGTGACAGTACTTCCAAAGAGCAAAATAACAGTTATAATATTACCATTTTTTGACTCAGTACTACATCAGGGGAAATTGGCAACTCCTCAATTTCTCAGAATGCTCCATGTAGCACTTGGAGGTTACTCTGGCATTCTGTTCTCAGTCTCCTACACAGCTTTTCAGCAAATGTCCAGGCTTTTCTCTCTCTCACAAATACTTGTTTTAATTGTTTTTAATTCTTTGACAGTTCAGAGATTTTGTGAAATAAGATCTTAGTTTGTCAAAACAAATGCACTTGAATTGGCAATGAGTTCCTGCTGTTCTCCTGGAATCTGTGCATCTAAAAATAGGGGCTGCCCTTTCACTCAAAGCTGTGGTAGCTTTGAGAGCCTGATAGTGGCCACTGACCAGTGTATTTAGCTCAGTGCCCTTCAGGAACTAGCTGACTTCCTTGGCCCATGGGCTCATTCTTTTGCTCTCAGGCTTCATTCTGAAAAAAGGTGGTGGAGTGGGAATTTTCTTTGACTAATCAAGCAACACTATAAAGTTTTCATGTTTGTACCCTAAGTGCTTTCTTGTTTCCTGTAGTTAAAGCTTTTCATCTCAAATATGATGAAGTCCGTCTGGATCCAAATGTACAGAAATGGGATGTAACTGTGTTAGAGCTAAGCTACCACAAAAGACACTTGGACAGGCCAGTATTTCTACGCTTCTGGGAAACTTTGGACAGGTATGTTTCCTCTTGGAAGTCCTTGATGCTCATGCTTTGATGATGTTTGGTGGGGATTAAAAGTTCCAACAACAACAAAATTGTATAAAACTTAGACATCTGAACAATGTGTTAGCTTGAAAATCCTGCTTGTTTTGATTTTCCTTGATAATGCATAAATAAAACGTAGTGGTATATATTTACAGACTGTAAATAATAATCTCCAAAATGTAATACACATGGATATAAAGCAGGGTAGTTCCCATTAATCATCAATTAGTACCAGGATTCCCCATGTACCTTTAGGCAGAAGGCAAGGAAAGGAGGAGAGGCTGGTGCTGCAGAGTTTTCCTTTGTTCCTCCAGCCCTCCCTGTGGACTGCAGCTCTGAGCTTACAAGCTCTCCTTTCTCTCTCCACCTCACTAGGTGATAGCTAGAAAACATGAGAAGCTACCATAAGATAAAGAGCCAGAAAGCATTACCTTATCCTAATTCCCCCAAGTCCACTGGGTAGAAGAGGAGCTCAAAAAAGATATGGCACATAATAAGTTTTGGACTGGTGATTCTTCTGTATCTTAAGGGCCTTCTGAGTACATAGCTCTGCTTTTTGTGAGCACTGAGGGATGCAGGACCAGCAGCAGCTCTGTGGAGAGCAGCTTTGCTTCTGACTCTGCTCCTCTGTGGTCCAGAACCCTCCTGAATTGGAAGTTCATTGCAATCCCTTTTCCATGTTGTAGAAAAGAAGCTTTATTATCATGAAGTAGTTGAAGAAATATTGAGGGAAAGGAGAAGCCCATGCATTTCATGAATGTTTAATCTTTTCATGTTGATTGCACAGCAAACTGCTTGAGTGATTGAGTGAAAAGAAAAATCCTGTGGGAATTGTCAAAATAATTCCAATCGTCAAACTTTCTATGGCTTCCTGTTTAAGTCTCAGATAAATGATATATTTGAATTCCGAGAATGAGCTAGACTCTCTGACAACAGTCTTTCAATGTTAGAAATCATGTGATGCCTTGGAAAACATGAATTTTCTGGAGGGAAGGGTTTAGCTGACATTTAGTGGGATGAATACTGTGCATAATACAGAGCTATGTGGTTCCTAAGGCATTGCATCTCTTTGGCAACTTGCTAATTCTCGAAGAGCTCTGTTTTAACAACATCTGTGCATGGAGAAGAGGCTCAGGGGAGACCTTATCACCCTCTACAACTCCCTGAAGGAGGTTGGAGTCAGGTGGGGGTTGGTCTCTTCTCCCAGGCAACTAGCAGGAGGACAAGAAGGCACAGACTCAAGCTCTGCCAGGGGAGGTTTAGATTGGATATTAGGAAGAGATTTTTTTTATGGAAAGAGTAATCAGGCATTGGAATGGGCTGCTCAGGGAGGTGGTGGATTCACCAGCTCTGTAGGTTTTCAAGATGAGACTGGATGTGGTACTTAGTGCCGTGGCCTATTGACAATGGTAGGGGTAGGACTCAGTGATCTTTGAGGTCTCTTCCAACAGGTTGATTCTGTGATTCTGTGCTATTATTCCTGAGCGTAACCACAAGGGTAATAATGTTGTCTTCATTTGGGTTTTTTTTCCAGGTATATGGTAAAGCACAAATCTCACTTGAGATTCTGAATCCTTCAGCTGCCATTTCTTTCCAGAAGTATGGATTGAGAAAAAAGAAAGGGGCTCCAGTTTGGAGACCAGAGCTCGCACTATATGATACGTCAAGAACTTTACAGATGAAGAAGGGTCACAGTTTAAACTTTTTATAAAATCTTGTTTGGATGCTTCATGCTATGGCAGGTTGATACCTGTTGTTATTCAGAAGCAAAGGGGTTTTGCTTAAAACTATTTTTTTAATGTTGTTAGCCTTCTAGTCTGCAATCCAAATTGTATATTTTGATAGCAGCAGTTTCTTCTCTGTTTTGTTAAATTAGCCACATTTTTAAATAATGTGTTTTGTTCCTTATTAGAAACTAGATTGATCTCCACTGCAGGTTCCAGCTGTGTGTGTGTGTGTGCGGATGTGTGTATATATATGTGTGTGTGTGTGTCTAGATATATAATGTACAAAAAATTTACAGACACACTTCTGCACACATAGATGTTACCAGGCTTTCTAAACCACTTAGCTTCTGAGCTTAGTTTTGGTTTTACTTGCTTCTTGGTTCACTTACTGAAAATATTTTGTTGTGAATGATATTACATTTTAGTCAATAGGACTTGCAAACTGAGCAAAGTGAAAGTTGTTTTGGATAAATCAAGATGTCAGCCTGTATATGTATATTCTGTCAGTCTTTGTTGAAAAAGGGAAGATGAAAAATCTAGAAATGCTTTTTTTTTGGATTTGTAATGTCCCGATTTGCTAAATCTTTAAACTTTATTATAGGAGTACCTTCAAGTCATGTTAACTTTGAATTGCCATTTTCCACACACATCTCTTTATTTAAACTGAAAGTCTGCATGTGTACATTCCCATCTAGCAAATACCTTTGCATATGAGTCTAAGTGTTACCTAGATTAAACAGTGAATAGAGGAGGAGAGAGTTTGGATTTTTATTTTTTTTCCCTGAAACAACCACCACAAGAAATGAGTAACTTTAACTTCTTTGCATTTATACCTCTAATACCACCTGTAATACTATTTTCTTGTGACAAAACTAGCCCAGACTGTAGGAGCTGTAACTTTTTGAGCTGAGTGGGTAATATGGCCTCCTAACAGTCCTGCATTGGAATGGAAAATGAGCCTTCTCCAATTACCAAAGAACAGATTTGCTTCATCTACAGTGTGAGGCCACTGAAAGACCCTGCAAGAAAGTATTTGTACGAACTTACAGCATCTCTGTATCTATTGATTAGCATTAGGTTGATGTTGTTTACCAGTGAATGTTGAGAATGATCAAATTCTGTAACACCTGCATGGTTTTTTTTTCTGGGATAGAAAACATATGTTTATAATCCTGTTCTTGAAATTCCAAACCATGTTTTTTTAATATTCTTTACATTTAAGGGTTGACAAAAGTAAAATGTTCTGCCTATTCTGTTTTACTTTTGCTTTTCATTTGATGTTACCTTCACTTTTAATAAAACCTGAAGGCACATCTTAAGAGGTTTTTAAAACTATGTCTTAAATTTATGAGGACTCTGAGGTATGACTTTAAATTGTACGTTTCCATCCCTTCTATACTGAGACTGTTTTTAAATGGTTGTAATGGAAATACAAAAACTCAAACCACCAAACAAAACCCTCAGTGACTCCCAGGATGAGAAGCAGCCGACACTGGATTTTTGAATGGATTCTGTGCAGGGACTGAGTAGGCAGTGCAAAACTACTAGAAGATCTCCTATTTATATGGGCAGTTGGTCAGTTACTGTGCTCTCCCTATACTTAGGCTTATTATAAATGTATCCATGTCATACCAGAGTGGCTAAAGCATTGAGTACTTGGTTTTAACCTGTACTATACCTAACAAAGCTGTGATGAGTACCAACAGAGCAGTTACTACTATGAGGAAGTGGTTCAATTTAGGGTTCATTACTGCTTTAAGTAGTAGGATATCATGTATGTGAATTTTAACTCGAACATTTCCAATTGGAAATGTAATTTCTTTCAGACTTAATCATGGCCCATGATCATCATGACCCATGGCATCATGGCCCATGCAGTTTTAACGAGACTTTTGCTGTAGGCAAAAGACTTGAAAAGCAAATTGTGAAGGACTCTGTGCTTCACATGCACTGTGACCTGGCCATAGGATGGGCTTACAGCAGGCAAGGTCAGTTCTCTCTTCTCTGCCCTGAACTTCACTTGTTCTTTCAGCACACATGTCATCCCAGATGCAGTATTGTATACAGGAGATGGCTTGATTTAGCTGTAAATTTATGTATATATTGGGAGTAACTCCTCTGAAACTAGTGAAGTCACATGGATGTGAAACTGGCAGAAGAAGAACATCCATGAAATCTTTGTATGAACTGTGCTGTTTTTTTATGGATTGAGCATAGACCTTTAACATCTTAGAATTTTGTACTTGCAAGCAGTTTGCGACACAAGTTGTAAAATATGTATTTGTGAAGGAGTTGGCACCTGATGGTGCATATTTTTGTCAGTCATAAAAGTAGTGATGTTTATAAAATGAGCCATTTTGCAATCAGATTCCTGCCGACATTATTGGAAGTTTAATTAGGTTGTCAGAATAGCATTCCAAAAAAAAAATAAATAACTTAGATTATGAAACTACTTGGACTTAAAAATTTAGCCTTACAGCAGCATTTTGCAACACAGCTGGAATTTTAGACACTTATGTTATGCTTAATTTATCTATGAGTTAATGTAGAGTAATAAAGAAAACCGATACTGAGAACTGGGGGAACTGAAGGATCAGACATCTGTTTTAGTGAGCTGCATTCTTATTGCTGAGCAAATTTGATGCACTACTTAGAGGTGTATAAAGTGTGTAAATTGTACTCAATTAAAATGTGTAACTATAACTGAGCTACTTCACTGCCTGCAGTTTATTGAACAGTGGAATGATACTAGCATGGGAATCGGATCTCAAATTGGCTGTTTCTATTAAACATCTTAAGTGTCATAACTCTACACTGTTTCATAAGTACAAGATGAATGAGATGAAACAAGATAAAACAAGTTGAAAACTGGTTTGAAGTCTGCTATTGAGCTCCCATACTGTCAGCAGGTGATTATTTCTTTTAGTAACAGAGGTTAGTGGGGCCAGTAGATGTATCTGAAGTAATGATTTTATATTAAAAACTAAAATACCTGTGATTGATACTATTTGAGCTTTTGAATGTTACCCTGAACAAAGCAGACAAAAGGGGAATTTTCTGTAAGATAAAGTAGGGCAACTGCAGGGACTTGCATACCTGAAGAAATTGCAGATCAGCATCCTCAGCTGAGTAGGCTGAGCTATTTAGCTATTACCTGCAAATTTTTGTAGGAAGATGGTTTCACAAATAGGTACTAAAGTCAGTGCTTGAGCTAGACAATTTATGGCACTGTTCTGCAATGCTGTAAACCTTTTTATTTCTGAATACAGAAGAAAATGTAGATAGCAAATTGTGTGCTGAGTTGCCCTTGATCATAAGTTAAACTATTATGTTATATTTGACAGAGAAGCCTTTATCAGAACAGCAAATTTGTTTTTTGCTTTCATTTGCTATGCAGTTGGTGTATAAAATATTGCCATTCTCTGCAGGGACATGCAAAAGTAAGTTTTATTAGTACAGCTTTTATTCTTTTGCTGGTGAAATATGCACTTAGTTGCTAATTCTTGCGAACACTATACAAAAAAAAAAAGCTGATCAAAATTAATGGCTTAGTGGTTTTAAAATTTAATGTCATGAATGCATTTTAATTCAAAAGCCATAACTAATGCCAAGTACTTTATTAGAGCAATGTGTTCATGAAAAATTAAAATCCCTGCCTGAAGAAACTGCTGGCCAAGTAGGTTACAGTTCAGCTAATCTGTGGAAAAATGTGCCACAAACTGGGATCTCCGAATGTCATATTCTGAGTTGCTCGTTTGTAACATAACTGATTTTTTGTTGAAGAGAGGTGGCAGTTCTGCTTTCTTTTCTGTACAGTTGCATGCTCTGTCATGTAGTTTCCCTTCTTTGGTTTGGTTTTACCCTAAGACTGTTTACATGATACGAGAATTCCGAGGCAGTGATAGAAAACAGATCACTGGGGATGAAGTTGTTTAAGTGGAGCTCAGGCACAAGGCAAGGACAGAGATGGTTCCTTCCTGGAGCTATGATCCAGTGGGTAACATTCAATGATCCTTGTGGGTCCCTTCCAACTCAGGATATTCTATGATTGTTCAGCTGTCTTTGACTTCTCTGAAGATCATTCTTCTCAGTGGTGATGCTTTCACAGAGGGCAAGTTTGAGGATAATGAGATTTAGTCCAGCAAAATCTCTTGGGAGGTGGCACACGGGGCAGGCTGTGCATCCAGACTGATTTACTGTGCTAATTTTTCTTTAAACAAGAATTTTATAATTTTTTAATAAGAATACAAATGCAAAGAACAATCTCAAATGTTTTAAACTTTATTGCAGAGACTAGTTCACATGTAAAAATGAAAGATATGAGGTGGTACATAAAATCTGTAAGAAAAATCACTTGGTTTATGGCTTTTATTTGTATCTGTAAATTCTTTCGGTGTATTACAAATTCAGAAAAACTTTACTTGCTTCACAAGGTTCTTGCATGTATCACTGAAAACTGTCAGAGGTAAATCTTTAGCTGCAGTGACTTGAAGGTTTGGTTAAATGAGTTTGTAGATTATAAGTTATGGCCTAACTCTGTCAGTGGGCACAAATTTTAATAGTGGTTTTGAAGGTTCAAGTTCAAATGAAATCTCAGGAGAACCTGATGGGAACAGCCACTATTGAATGAAGAAGATGACAAACTTTTCATGAGGTTAAACCTTTCAGCTCTCACATAACTGTCATAAACTTATGGTTGATGACTATTTAGATAAATGTTAAATTTTTGGATATATCTTTGCACGTGACCTATTATTTAAGATCTGGACTATACTATTATGTTTTTTACTTACAGTTTAGCATCAGCTTGAGTCCAGCTTCTGGAAATTGTTAGGAAACATATCTTGAGGACTTTGGAAGGTGATATATCTGTCTACATGCAACAAACAACTTAGCCCTGAAAGAAGCAGCAAAAAAAGCATTTTTCTCTTGTTCCTGTTGATGAAGACAAAACCTGTAGTTCCATAACACTGAATGTATTTTTATGGGTGAAATAGGATGTAAAAAATAACTTCAAGAAACTGCTTCTAATTTTTGACTTGTTCCTGCCCTGTTGAAAACCTATCCCGGAGACCCATCCAACCCCTCATCTTCTTCCCTGTTGTTCTTTCTGCTTTTTTCTCCCAAACCAGGACTTGCTCCTAATTTTTCTGTGTCAGCACACACCTATGAATTACTCCTCTTCCCCATCAGTGCACAAACAGTGTGGTGGAAGCACAAGAAGCACAAGTTTCTCCCCATTACATCTTAGAGTTGATGAGAAACTTTAAAAAACTGAAAAAAAAAAAAAAGAAAATGCAAGTATGACCTACTGAACACTTCGTCAGGCTTCTTTCTAGTTTAGTTTTTGACTTCTAGTAATGAAGCTTTGAGGTTTTTGAACACAAATACTGAGGGCATACTAGTTGTTAGTATTTCCTTAATATGTCTCTAGGTATTCCCCAGGGATTTGTAACTGTGGAATTCTCCCTGTTGCTGCAGTTAAGTGTTAGGTGCAGAATGATGATCCTGAGCTCTGAGTTGAGTCATTCTTAACCTGAGACTGAGCGAAATCTAAACAATTACCTGAGAGCCTTTGTCTGCAGCTGCCAATGATTTGAGCAGCACCACACTAGTTGTCTTTGTTAGTGGTTTTGTGAGAGACAGATCAAATTCACACAATTATGAGCAGCGAAGAAAATGAAAAATGGATACTTGTTTTTCAGATGCCACTCAACACTTGTAATAGTCAGAGCTATTTACAGTTTGGTAAGAATTGTGAGGTGACCACAGCAACTGATACTAATCCCAAGAGCAGAAAGTGGATTGGATTGTTTTCTAGTGCTGTGAGTTATTGAGAAATTTTTCAGCATGCTCTAAAAAAAGTTCAGAGAATCACAGAGAGCAATAGTGTAGCTGAATGGCACCTTTTTCAGCCCTAAAAAAGTTCAGACAATCACAGAGAGCAATAGTGTAGCTGAATGGCACCTCCCCAGCTGCTCTTGGTATGAGTGGGATGTCTTGGCAGGACCTTCTTCAGCTGGAGTGGTCATACTCCTGTGGTGAGGAAGGAGGTGATCCTTGACATATACAAATCCCCTACTTTGGAGCAGGCTTTGGTTGACTGTCAGGCATTCCCTAAAAAAGTTCAGACAATCACAGAGAGCAATAGTGTAGCTGAATGGCACCTCCCCAGCTGCTCTTGGTATGAGTGGGATGTCTTGGCAGGACCTTC